ATTTTTTTTTTTTTTTTTTTTTTTTTTTTTTTTTTTTTATAGCTATTTTTTCTGTATATAAAAGTTTAGAAAACCCATATATGAGGGATAATGATAATATAAATTCCTTTAGTAGAAACTTTATAAAAAAAAAAAATTTTTAAATATAAATCACATTTTCATAAATAATATTATAAATAATGTATATATGAAATATATATTTTTTTTTTATTTTAAATGAATAACTATTTTTTTAGCTTTACAATTTATTTCTGTTTCATTCATCGGGTTATATACAATTTCTCAAATTTCTATTTTTAGAACTATGCCTTATCATCCTTTAGAATATTTGTTAAAATAAAAAAAAAAAAAAAAAAATGATTTTTATTTATAATTTATTATTTTTATATTTATAAAATAATCATTTAATTTAAAACCATAAATATTATATATAATATGCTTATTTTGTTTTTATCTATTTTAATTAGAATATGTATTTATTTAAATCATTATTCTTTTTCATTTTCATTTTATCATATCTTTAGAGGATACATAATAAAAAATATTGGTGATGATATACTTTCTATTATGAAAAAAGTGTGGAATTTTTTATCTTAAGAAAATTCAAAGTAATTAAAAGATATCCATTTATATTTTTCCATTAATTACTAATAAAAATAAAAGTATTTTTGTTTTAACATAATTAAGAATAAACATATATTTTTTATTATTTTTCATTTATTATATAGCTATTATTTCTAGAATTACATAAAATATATTTACGTATGTCTAACCTTTTATAATAATACTTCTTTCTTTTTTTTATTAGGTACAAAAATTATGTTATTTTTGAAATTAATTGTGAAACTTTTTTTAAAACAAAAATAAAAAATAATGATTCTGAACATATATAATATTCATATTTTATATATTTTCAAATAAAGTTTAATTATTTTTATGAAAAAAAAAAGAAAAATTTATGTGCTCATATTATCCATAAATTCATTCAAACATATCTTTGTTTTTTTTTTTAGTTTTTTTTTTAGTTTTTTTTTTTTTTTTTTTTTTTTTTTTTTCAAGTTGCAATAACATATTTGACTAAAAAAATAATACAATGAATACGATCTTAATACATATACTTCATTTTTTAAATTAAAATTGAAAAAGAAGCTATCACTTTCTCTTCTTTGATTTATTGCTTCTATTGAATTAACCATTTTTTCTTTCAATCTTTTTACATAATTTTGTTTTCTTTTTTTTTTAATCAATAGTACAATTATGTTCTATTTTTATGTCTATACTTAAACTCTTGCTTTACATGGTTATTATATGAGATTTTCTCTTAATTTTTTAAAAATTATATTTAATGAAAAAAAATTAACTCAAAAAAAAAAAAAAAAAATATATTTTTAAGTAAGAATTTACATTGTAACCTATCTTTTTTTAAAACTTATATATATATATATATGGGTATATATATGGGTATATATATGGGTATATATATGGGTATATATATGGGTATTGGTTTACTGATGATATAATAAAAAAATGAAAGAATGCTCATCCACATATATTATTCCTTATGATTTATTATATGATTAAGTTAAGAAAGGAGAATGTAATGAAATATCAGAAAATTATAAAATTGAAGAATTTGTTAATTTTAATAAAGAAGACTTAATTATATTTCAAATAAATTTATATTGTACAACGGAAATATATTTAAGAATATTTTATATAATGAAAATAATTCAAATAATCATATATAATATTTATGAGCTATAATAAAGCTATAATGAGTATACTTAAAAATTACAAAAGTATTCCTGTTATTAAGATTCATAACTTCAAAGTTATAGAAGTAACATATTAATTAATGACTACATTTTCTCATATTTTTAAGAGAAAAAAATGAAAATTTTAAAAATAACAATCAAACTCGTAATTTTTTCTGAACATCCATTTAAATCCAAATAATCAACATAAAAATTATAACAAAAAAAAGTATTAAAAATTGAAACTATTAAATATTAAAATATAATGCAATAAATAAAAAACATGAAGATATAATGAAAATAATAATTTTTCTAAATTTTTTTTGAAGAAATAAAATAAAAAATAATAATAGAAAAAAAGGAAAGCATTTAATAAAGCTGATTCATAATAATTATTAAAGCATAAAAGTTGATACATGTGTAATTAATTTATAATTTTAGAAATAAATAAAAAAAAAAAAAAAAGTTTAAAATAAAAGTAAATTGTTATATAACTATATTTCTTAACAAGGTGTATAATATAAAAGCATAGAAAATTTATTATCACTAAAAAGGTTTTATTTAATATATAAATTAAATATATTATTTTATATTTAAATTAAATATATTATTTTATATATAAATTAAATATATAATTTTATATATAAATCAAATTAAAATAGACGAAAAAGTATTTTCATATATTAAAAATAATTTAATGATTTACATATTATCTTTAAAAATAAATTTTATTAATAATCTTGGAATTTTATTTTTACTCATTTAATGGATTGTAACTTTAATGTTTATCATACGAATACACTTTTTTTTTTTTTTTTTTTTTTTGTGATATCGTGCGGGGTTATTGGTAATCATTTAAATTTTTTGAGATAAAATTGAATGCATAATAAATATATGAAGGCAAAAACTATATTAATATATTACTTAAAATATGTTAAAAAAAATTTTGAATTTTCAAAATACGTTTTGGTGTAAAAAAA